AGGAGTTATGAGATTGAATTGTTTGCAGAAACCTATTTATTAATGCACCCTGGTTTTGTAGAGTTAAGGAAATATTTAAGTTTGATGTGAATACATTGAAGTTTTTCCTATGTTCTGTTAGGAAGAAAATTCAAATGATTGAGTTAAAGTTGTAAGACGGAGAAAATTGTTAACTATATATAGCACCATATATGCTAATTCAAATGGTTCTGTTAAGAGTTTGCTTTGAGTTGTAAGACTGAGAGAATTGTGACTATGTATAACAATATTTATGTTAACCTGTTAATGGTAATGATGAAGCTAAGGGATTCTTTAAGTTTGTAGTCGCCTTAAGAGTTTTTGGTTTAGAAAGGGCTTGAGGCCGCTAAGACTGCTGTAGTCACCTTGGAGCTAATTCAAAAGAGAAATGCCATCTTTATCATCCTCTACTCCCATATTGGGAGGTGTAACAGTTATGGAGATTGCTGTAAGCCATTAATAGTTATTTTTTTATATATTAAGAAAGGGGGACCTGTGGGAGCCCGTTCTCGGGTTCCTCGTGGCTTTACCCAGCAGGTCCGCATAGAGGATGATTAGGACCACGGGCTTGAGTGCAGGTGTCTGGGATGGTCTGCACTTGGCTGTGCTGGGGGAGGAGGTCTTTTGCTCCACCCCTTGGCATCTCTATAAAAACCCTGGGGCAGAGACAGTCGGGGCCGGTTGGAATAGGTTCCAGGCCCTCTCGAGGCTATCCTTTATTTTCTATCTGTTTATCTCCGCGATATTCTCCACAATAAATCCTTCGATCTAATATTTCCTGCTGCTCGCACTCAAGAAAACTCTGGGGAACTGTGGGGGTGGTTGGGTAAACGCCCCACAATAAGTAAAGGTAAATCTTTTAAATTATTATTTCAAAATAACATTTTGTGTTGCTTTTTTGAGACAGGATCTCTCTACATAGCCCAGGCTGGCCTTGAACTCAGAGATCTGCCTGCCTCTGCCTCCTGAGTGCTGGGATTTAAAGCCTGCCAGAGCAGCTGGCCCAGGACACACGCTGATTCAGATTGCCATTGCTTCGCTTTAATATGCAATAGTGACTATGGGAGCCTTGAAGCAAGAAGGGACATATTTTCTACTACTTTCCCTCGAATTCCATATCTGTTGTCTTTAATTTCTCAAATGCTTTACTTTCTAAGTCTGCTTTCCACACTTGGCTTCCGGGAGACGGTTCCAGCATGGTCATAAAGCAAACGGTTTGATCGGTGAATCTCTTAAGTCAGCACTGTGTGATATTTGATTTAAAAAAAAAAAAAAAGGAAGGAAACTTATTTAGTGGGTCTCTTCCGAGAAACTGCCAAGCCTGGGTTATGCAGGAGCTGGGGCAAGGTGTTCTCAGGTCCTGGCCACCTACTGCTCCAACAGATCCAGGTGGTGGCCTTCAGAAAAGAAACCACAAGCTCGCTGTAGGGAAGGGAGTGTGAGTCTGGTCTAGAGGTAGAAATGAAAACAAGGACTAAACCTAAGGAAAACTAAAAGGGGTTAATACCATCACCATCCAAATTTTCTACAACTCAGAAAACGAAACACAGGCAGGATTAGACAGGCCCCAAAGTGACAGGATTGAGGTCAAAAGCCACAGTGCTCAAAGGCAAATTGAAACCAGCCATGATGTGGTCCGCATTAACCACAGCATTCCATTCCTGTCAGTGTCCTTAATTTGCCTATACATTTATACAGCGATTTGTTTTATGTAGTAAATTATTGTGCTTACAATATTAAAATTGTCTCAATTTTAGGATGATTACGTAACACACCTTTCTGGATTCTTTTATTTGATGTGTAGGAGTGTCTGCCTGCAGGTATGGGCATGTATCACATGCGTGCCTGGTGCCCACGGAGGTCAGGAGAAAGCATTGGATCCCTGCAATGGGAGTTACAGATGATACAGAGCATGGGCACTGGGAACTGAACCTGGGTCCTCTGCAAGAACAGCAACAAGCTTCTCTGGTGATGGCTAAGCAAGCCACCGACCTATGGGTAGAGCGGTGGAGATGTGGCCTATTTTTGTTGGCTCCATATCAAAACTGACTATTCTGGCTGACATATTTCTACGTCTTCATCTCTTCTTCCCCAAGCCACAGAATCTCTTCTGGAAGCAGAGCTTTTCTTTATTCCAGTGAGGCACATACAGCTAAAAATGATGTTCCCTGTAACCACACTGAAAGGGTAGGGGGCAGGCAGAATGGCAGTGACTTTGGGCATGAAGGACTCGCATCCCATTATTCATATTCAAAAGGACATAAAGCAGGGGATTTTTGGAAATCACTGCTTCTCAATTTATTGTTAGTTTTTATTTGATGTCCAGAGTCCTGAAATCATTATTTTTACAAATCCTTGTCTAGTTTAATATCTGTATTTTGTGCAGAGAACTCACTGGCCATTGCATACTGTCATATCCATCAGTGAAATCGGATTTTGGGAGGGTTGATCTAACATTCCTTAGAGTGCCCTTCTAAACCTAGGATTTCACAATGATATGCCCTGTCAGGAACAGAAGGTAGGCAGCCTGGCCAGGACTGCCACTGAGAACACTCTAAGACCCCCTTCTCCATCTCTCACACAGCAGGAATCTGAGTGGGGGGGGGGCACAACGTCTCAGATTCTCTCAGCACGAATACAGCATGGAGATCTGGGTTTAGACCTTGCAAATGTAAAGCCCTCTTTGAATCTGATCACACTTTAAAAGATGCTGAAGACCGCAGACAGGGCAGTATCAGCTGGGGGCACAGGTTATCAACACTCCGTGACTTCACACAGGGTTCAGGTTTACCATGGGAATGAAAGGAAACACCGTGAGGAAGAACACATAACTCCAAAGAAATCGTTTCTGAATTATCTTCAAAGGACTTTCACTTCGGGATTACGTTATCTTTCTGTCTCTCTGCCTTATCATTTTATTGACTAATGTATTTTATCCTAGGAGGAAGGGGCTGCTATAGAAAAATCCAATTAATCTTGATAAATTACTTCCCTTACACACAAACAGTTTTAATTATTTTTCCAGGAGTGAAACACTGTGACATAAAACATCATAACATAGAGCCTGAGAGGAAGGGACAGGCAATAATTCACCTTCTGAGTTATCGTAAAGATAGCACAAGACACAGGCTGAAATGGGAAAGACCTCTGGAGGCCTGGGTGCATATGTGCCTTCCCCGGGGCCCAGGAGTGAGGGTTCCTGTGAGCATCATGTGCCTTCTCCGGGGGTCAGAAGTGAGGGTTCCTGTGAGCCTCCTTTTATAAAGGTTTATTTTCAACCTCCCTGTGTTTTCTCAGACACCAATACAGGTTCTATCTTTGTTGCTAATACTTATATTTTCTTTGCTTTGTTCAAGTTGTTTTTCTATAGTGAAATTCCGCCGTGCTCAATTTTCTATGTTGTTGTGCTAGCATTTGCTACTTAGTACTGCAGGAGAGAGGGGCCAGGGGTAGATATTGAGAGGCAAGGGCTGGAGAGATGGCTCAGTGGTTAAGAGCATTTGATGCTCTTGCAGAGGACCTGGGTTCAGTTCCCAGCACCCACACGGTGGCCCACAACCATCTGTAACTCCAGTTCTAGGGATCCAGCGCCCTCTTCTGGCCTCTGAGGTAGAGCACAGACACACATGCAGGCAAAACACCCACATACATTAAGATAGTAATAATAATTTTAAATAATTTAAAAAGTGCAGAGGCTATATTCTGAATATATGGTGGGCCCTTCAAATATACATGGATCTATATTCAAATGTCAAAAAGCTTCTAAAAAGTTTCTTAAAAAGGATATGTGCATAGTAAATGGATGTGAATTACAAATTATTATTTTTAGAACATTAGTTGACTAGGTTCTTAAAATATTACTAAAATTAATGGGAAGAATTCCCTTTTCCAACTCTGAAATTCATATCAAGGATACATGAGAACTATCACCCCTATAAACATCATCTTATCCTTTTACTGACTAATATAATCATTTTATTGATTTTCTGTAATATGGGAAACAGGTTCAGACACCACCTTGAAATTCGGTGGACTTTAGTCACCTGTTTAAAAGTAAACCAAGGAGAAAACACCCAGAAAACCTCAACAAGCCAGAGTAAAAACAGGCTCCCGGGCCGGGCGGTGGTGGCGCACGCCTTTAATCCCAGCACTCGGGAGGCAGAGCCAGGCGGATCTCTGTGAGTTCGAGGCCAGCCTGGACTACCAAGCGAGTTCCAGGAGAGGCGCAAAGCTACACAGAGAAACCCTGTCTCGAAAAACCAAAAAAAAAAAAAAAAAAAAAAAACAGGCTCCCATAAACTTGGAATCTTCCCCAATGGCCGCCAGCCTGGAAAGACACAAGTTCTTCTTTCCTGTCCAGGGCAGCAATTTTGGCTGACATCTATGGCTTCATTTCCTGTCCCCCAAATCAATGTGTCTGTCTACCTTCCCGAAGGAGAATAGAGGAGGGGAGAGCAGAGAAAAGGGAAGGGGAGAGGAGAGGGGAGGGGAGGGGAGGGAGGGGAGGGAATGTGTGCTTCCTGGTCCTGCTTGCAAGGCCACTGGCCCAATATCACTTGGTTTTCTAGGTGTTGTTGCCTCGTCTTTATGACGCACATGACATGCACAAGATCTGCTAAGGACATCTCTCATAGAAGGGCTGGAGAGATGGCAGTTAAGAGCACCGGCTCCTCTTCCAGAGTTCCAAGTTCAGTTCCCAGGACCCACATGGCAGCTCACAACCATCCATAACTCCAGATTCATGGAACAGGATGCCATTTTCTGAGCTCTGTGGGCACAGGCACGCACATGATTACACCTACATACATGCAGACAAAACACACACACACACACACACACACACACACACACACACACACACGTAAAAAATAAAAAGAACACTCCCCATGGAACCTATCCTATTCCCTAAAATTATTTCCAAAACACGAGAGGAGAAAGACACAGACGCTCTCAGTGAGAGGGGAAGGGAAACATTTTCTCACCTGATGGAAGAGGGGGCTGTGGGTTACAGGGACGCCCAACCCGCTGAAGCACATGCCTAGGACCATGTCGTCGGGAGCATCATTGCTGTAGCATCGGCAGCTGCTGGCGAGAAGTCTCCGGATGGCTTCTCTGCTGAAGACCATGCTGGTGGGAGCGGACAGAAAAGGAGTTGGGGGGTTAGCGCCATGCAGCCGGTTAATGGGAATGAGGGCTCCGGCTGAGAGGCCACACTCCGGAGAACGGTGCCCATCACTGACACGGGCACACTTCCACTGACTCCGCACACTGTATGAAAGCAAAATCACCTTGAGAGACGTTTCCCTACCCAGCAGACAGCTGTGTGTGTCTCCCCTAGACACACTACGTGATGTGATTTTCCTAACATTACTGTCTTTGTTGTCCGTCAGCTTGACACATAACAGCGTCATCTAGAAAGAGAGCCTCCACCAGACAGGCCCGCAGGTGAGTCTGCGGGGCATATTCTGGGTGAATAATTGATGTGGGAGGGTTCAGCCCACTGTGGGCGCTGACCGCCCTGGGCAGGTGGTCCTGGGATGTGTAAGAGCAGGCCGAGGAAGCCATGGGGAGGAAGTCAGAGCCCCTCCATGACCTCTGCTCAGCTGCTGCCCTGCCTTCCCTTCATGATGGACTGCAGACTCCGAGATGAAATTAACCCTCTCCTCCCCAAGCTGCTTTTGGTGTTTGTCACAGCAACAGAGGAGTAACTAACGAAGGGGTGGACAGACTGTGACATACCCTGAACAGTGCTGTGGCACCATTCGGCCCGGGACGTGGGGACTTTCTGGGGGAAGCTTCAGCCCACTGTGTCTTTCTGTGCTTCCCTCAGCATCCTAGGCAGCTAAGGCCTTTCATTTCTTCTCTTTTTCTTTTCTTTCTTTCTTTTTTTTTTTTTTTTCCCGACACAGGGTTTCTCTGTGTAGCTTTGCGCCTGTCCTGGATCTCGCGCTGTAGCCCAGGCTGGCCTTGAACTCACAGAGATCCGCCTGGCTCTGCCTCCCGAGTGCTGGGGTTAAAGGCGTGCGCCACCAGCACCCAAACCTCCTGGGCTTCCCTGGACAGCTGAGCCCTTGGTTCCTCTGACTTTAAGGGCCCTAGCCCGAGGGAGGATGGTTGGCTTCTGCCCCTGGCGGTCTGTGCAGCAGAGGCGGGCCCGGGGGCAGCCACGCATTCCTACAGAGGGTCAAGGGAGCCGGTCCCTGCGTGGGCCTTGAGCACCATCGGGACCCCACAGCCGAGGTGGGCGGGGTGCAGCAGCAGTGTTCAATAGCAACGACCTCGAGGTGAAACTACTCCCCTGTGATAGAGTCTTTTTAAAAGAGAGAAGGGTTTCTGGTTCCCTTTCTGGTCCTCTTCAGGTCACAAAGCCCCAAAGGTGGCGCAGCTGAACCAAAATCCATGCACGTCTTCTCACAACCCAGTGCGTGCACACAGCAGGAACTCAAACAAGTTCACTGTGTAAAACAACTCAGCAAAGCCTCCTCTGCAAAGATCTTCCACAAGCCCACCTACCAGGACGGCGCTGGAGGAAGTGTGGAGACAGAGGTTACAAAAGTGATTCTCCGCCCACCGGGGTCTGCTGGACACAGTCACACACCAGAGACAAGCGCAGGGATGGCGAGAGTGCAAACACCGGGCTGATAGTGCAAACACCAGGACAACAGTGCAAACACTAGGGCTGATAGTGCAAACACCGGGCTGATAGTGCAAACACCGGGACAACAGTGCAAACACCGGGCTGATAGTGCAAACACTGGGCTGATAGTGCAAACACTAGGGCTGATAGTGCAAACACCAGGATGATAGTGCAAACACCAGGACGATAGTGCAAACACCAGGACCACAGTGCAAACACCAGCTGACAGTGCAAACACCGGGCTGACAGTGCAAACACCAGGGATTGATAGTGCAAACACTAGGGCTGATGATAGTGCAAACACTAGGACTGATAGTGCAAACACCAGGATGATAGTGCAAACACAGGGCTGACAGTGCAAACACCGGGCTGACAGTGCAAACACCGGGCTGACAGTGCAAACACAGGGCTGACAGTGCAAACACAGGGCTGACAGTGCAAACACCAGGGCTGACAGTGCAAACACCAGGGCTGACAGTGCAAACACCAGGGCTGACAGTGCAAACACCAGGGCTGACAGTGCAAACACCAGGGCTGACAGTGCAAACACCAGGGCTGACAGTGCAAACACCGGGCTGACAGTGCAAACACCGGGCTGACAGTGCAAACACCGGGCTGACAGTGCAAACACCGGGCTGACAGTGCAAACACCGGGCTGACAGTGCAAACACCGGGCTGACAGTGCAAACACCGGGCTGACAGTGCAAACACCAGGGCTGACAGTGCAAACACCAGGGCTGACAGTGCAAACACCAGGCTGACAGTGCAAACACCAGGGCTGACAGTGCAAACACCAGGGCTGACAGTGCAAACACCAGGCTGACAGTGCAAACACCGGGACCACAGTGCAAACACCGGGACCACAGTGCAAACACCGGGACCACAGTGCAAACACCGGGCTGACAGTGCAAACACCGGGCTGACAGTGCAAACACCGGGCTGACAGTGCAAACACCGGGCTGACAGTGCAAACACCGGGACCACAGTGCAAACACCGGGACCACAGTGCAAACACCGGGACCACAGTGCAAACACCGGGACCACAGTGCAAACATCGGGCTGACAGTGCAAACACCAGGACAACAGCGCTGCAGGTCTTGCTAAAACGCAGAAGACTGAACAACAAGCAGAAGTTCTTCCTAAGCTGACACATAAGGAAACACAAGAGTACAAGAAGGAGGGGGACATTCCCGTCACGATACACACGAGGAACTGCAGGTCTGCAAACTGGCAAGACCTTTCCTAGACATCCGACCAGTGAGACCCCAGCGCCACGTGTTTTCAGCCCAACTCCCGCACAGTCAGCGACACCCAGTCTCCCCACCCCAGCGACAGGGCTTGTGTGAGGGAAGAAAATGCTTTGTTCTCTGTGTAAGCTCCAGTGTGTGGTAGAACGTTATTTTAAGGTGCGTTACCTTTGTTTACCTTGTATTTGTTTGACTCTGTGAAGCTGTGTTACTGTGCCTGTCTAAAACACCTGATGGACTAATAAAGATCTGAACCACCAACAGCGAGGCAGGAGAAAGGATGGGCGGGGCTGACGGCAGAGAGAACAAACAGAAGGAGAACTCTGGGAGAAAGGAGGAGAGAGAGAAGGAGGAGGACATGAGGGGCAGCCACCCAGCTACAGCCAGCCACGGTGTAAGAGTGAGATTTACAGAAGTAAGAGAACGGGAAAAGCCCAGAGACAAAAGGCAGACGGGATCATTTAAGTTAAGGAAAGCTGGCTAGAAACAAGCCAAGCTAAGGCTGATCACTCATAATCAAGAATAAGTCTCTTGCCCTTTCGGCTGAGGACTCGGAGGCATTTGGCTGAGGATTCATGGAGACAGGGTCTCACCTCACTTTCGGCCTGAGGATTCGGTAGTGGTGAGAAGTTTCTCTAGTGGCTTGTTCCTTTATCTCTCTGATTTTTCAGCATTCACCCCAATATCTGGCTCCAGGTTTTTATTATAAGATCAATTAGGATTCGTGCAACAAGTTTGCAAGTATCTTATTGAGAAATTTAGTGTTTGTGTTCATCTGCAAGGTGGGTTTATAATTTCCTGTTTTTGATTCTTTGTCTGGTTTTGGAACAAGAATAAACCCTCCCCTGTCCCCTCACCAAGCCAACCACCCCGCATGGCACCAGTGACCACCGGAGCCATACATTCACCCTGCTCCGACTGGGAACAGGGAAGGCCCAGATCTCCAGACTGGTCAGCCCAGTTCTCTAGCCCCTAGAACATTCCATGCCCCTCCCCTCAGCCAATGCAGCCCCAGATACTGGGCAGAAGGCTCCTCCCACCCCCACCCCCTAGCCAACTATCCCCTGCGGCACCAGAGTCATAATCCTACCCTGCACCAGTTGGGAACAGTGACCACCAGAGCTATAAGCCCCCTCCTGGACCAGCTGGGAAGAAAAACAACCACAGGAACCAGAGGCCCCACATGCACCAATTGGAAGAAAAGCGACCTTGGAGCTCCACCTGATCAGATTAAAGGAAGAAATGGGTAGACAGCAGCGTAAGAACACATTAAACGACATAAAGAGCAATATGGCACCACCGGAACCTAGTGATCCTACAACAGCAAGACCTGAACATCCCAAAGCAGATGATCCAGAAGAAAACGACCTTAAAAACAACTTTATGAAGATGACAGAGGCCCTAAAAGAGGAAATAAAAAATTCCCTTAAAGAAATGGAGGAAAAGACAAACACAAAACTGGAGGAAATCAAGAAATCTCTTTTTTTTTCTTTTTTTTTTTTTTTTTTTGGTTTTTCTTGAGACAGGGTTTCTCTGTGTAGTTTTGCGCCTCTCCTGGAACTCACTTGGTAGCCCAGGCTGGCTTCGAACTCACAGAGATCCGCCTGGCTCTGCCTCCCGAATTCTGGGATTAAAGGCGTGCGCCACCACCGCCCGGCCAAGAAATCTCTTAAAGAAAGTCGAGAACCCCAAGAAAAAGCAATCAAACAGGTGAAGGAAACAGTTCAAGACTTGAAAACTGAAATAGAGGCAATAAAGAAAGCATAAACTGAGGGAATTCAGGAAAAGGAAAATCTGAGTAAACGTACAGAAACTACAGAGGCAGGCATAACCAACAGAATAGAAGAGATGGAAGAGAGAATCTCACGTGTTGAGGATTGTGGTGATGTATTGTATACCCTAATAAAATTTGCCTGAAGATCAGAGAACAGAATAAGCCACCAGATTAAACATAGATGCCAGGTAGTAGTGGCATACACCTTTAATCCTAGCACTCGAGAGGCAGAGATTCCTCTGGATCTCTGTGAGTTCAAAGCCACCCTGGACTACATGAGATTGACTCAGTCTAGGAGAAAACAGAGGCAGGCAGTGGTGGCACACACCTTTAATCCCAGTACTTAGGAATCACACGCCTTTAATTCCAGCAAGAAAAGTATATAAACTCTGAGGAGACAGGAACTAAAGGCTTTTTTGGCTAGAGCCTTTCGGGTGAGGACTCAGAGGATTTCAGTCAGAAGATTCAT